AGCTGCTTTTCATGAGAAATCTACATGTTTTCTGATTCTGGTTACTTCAGGTAAACTCTTCTTACACCTGAGCCATACACCTCTTCAAGTCTCTTTAAATTTCCAGAAACTCCATGAAACTCTAACTTGGTTTCATCTGAACTTCTACAGCTACTCCACCTGGAGCAAATATCTCGTTTCCCACAACTTCAGAATCCTTACAGGTAACAACCTCAATCCCTTAAATAGCTTTATTTTCACTTAAGAAAATAACCAATCACACAGCCTCCTTCATGACTACGATTGCCGCCATGAATCTATTATAGTGATTGAAATAAACTATTTCTTCTCTGCAACTTGATTCCCTTTGATATCATTTTGATTCTTCTCATGTGCACTGCACTTAGAACCAAATTTCCCATGAATCATATGTAGTAGACCCTAGAACCATACATGCTTCAGTCTGAAATAATCCCTGATCCAATCTTCTGTTTTAACAACCACATCCCTGAATACCTCTTGTACCGCCATCATCACCGATGGAACACGCCTCCTAACCAATGTCGTTGGGAAGACTTTCAACACAACCTTTCATTCAGTTTTCATGTTCAAACATGACCGTTTACTAGCAGATTTTCAGTGCTAATAAACTCAAAACCAATCTCTTGTCATTAATAAATAAACCATGACACTTGAGATTCTCTTTTACAGCCACTTCGTATCACATATCCTCCGGAGAAAATCTTGTGCTTGTGATAACTTTTCCGCTGTAAAAACAAACCACCCAATACTTGTTTCTTGTACTGGAAATTCACCAAATAACATTTGGTGGTCGCATCACAAAACTCTTACCATCAGAACACACCTTCTGATGTCATCAATAACTTGTAAACATGTCTTTGGTATTGATGCTTCCTCACGTGAGTTTCATATCCTTTTGAGAAAATCTCCTTAATTCTCTTTTGTGATGCTAAAGAAAACCAAGTATAGCCTTAAAGGAAATCAAGTATAACCTTACTTGTTCCTAACTGTCCATGCGCTTGTTAAGCTCTGCATTCACCATCCATACTTGGATGTCTTCTGATTCTAGAACACATTTAGCTTCTCTAATTTATCCAGCAATTGCTCTTTTTGAGAAGCTTTCCTCACAACCTTTCTTTGATGCAGACTTCCACAACTAAATTCCACCAGTTGTTCTCTACATGCATTTTGTCTTCTCTGCATATATGTTCTCTTCTAGAATCTATCCTTTTGAAGTGTATAATCTGAGACGACCCTTGCATAACCCGCAAGTCTCACAAATTCTCTCTTAGAGAAATCAACATAACCACTTCAATATCCACATCTCAGGCTCCAACACCTTAGTACTCATTTTGACTTTCAGAAACCTTGCAGTTTACCATGATTCACCCATCTTGCTTTCTTTTATCTTGGAGTCTTCCTCACATTCTGATTAAGTAATAACTTAGAATGAATTGCCATCAATATTACCTCAATACTCGAGATCACATAACATTAACCTCTCCTCCAGCAACGCCAACATGTACATGTCTTGTACCGCTGTTTAACCCAACAGAACACGCCGCCTAACACCATTGTTAGGAAGACTATCGACACAAAACCCCAGCACAGTCCATTGCGAAATAGCATTGAAAATAGTTCCTCAAAGATCAAGCAGTCTCCTACGCCTTAGCTTTCCAATTAAGCCATCACATACTTTTTTGATGATTGAAGATCTGATCAACACAAGATATCTTCTAAAACCATGGCTCCACCTCGAAGTAAACACCTTCTGAAATTGTTTCATTAGAATCTGTCATCTGCGTACATCCTTCTTGCTTCCATACTCTCATTTCAAAGGTCTTTAATCGTTTCACACTTTGGGCTAGTGAAACTCTTTGATGCGTTTGAAGCAATACCCCGGAACTGCTTGTGATATGACTAAAGCTATAGCCACACATTCTACCTCACACATAACCTCTTCGTCTGCTGTTCCCACAGTGACACTTGACCTAGCCAGCCACTACCAAGATGATAACACATCTTTCTGATTTTCTCCAACAAACTTCTTTTGAGGCTATCYTTGTTCYTGTATACTTTGATGACTYTTAAACCTTTTAWACCTMTGTTGTTCTTGTCAGAAAACCCATCTGATCTAGCACATAAATCACCCTTAGTGCCTCCAACAACAGATACAAAGAACCAACACCGTTTCTTTGGATTTTCACTTGAGACGTCAGGTCTTTTGATGATGCAACTATTTAAGACCTTGATCATCAAACCTATGAGCATCTTCAGTTCTCCTGAACCAGATCATTAAACGTGAGACTAACCTTCCATCTGTCCTTGCTCAAATCTTCAAAGTTCCGTAACCAGTTTTGAAACCAACAGATTACAAGATCTTTTGTTTCATAACTTATCTGCAGTACCTTTCTCAGAATCCTTTAAAACCTTAACCAATATTCCGAACCAGCCAATAACACACATAGAGGTTTAAGTACTAAGACGTCCCCTAGTCCTTTATCACTCAATTTCAATAGCTGCTCTTATGTGACACATTGAACACCAACTGTATTAGTCCGTTTTATAGCCATACTTCACTAAGAAAAACAGCCTGAAACAAGGCACGGACTCTTGACCGAATCTTCTGTAGAACTTCCATACAAACCTTGTGTTCTTACAAGATTTTAACCTCTGAGAATTGCAGATTATCAATCAACAATATCATCACAAAAAATACCTTTGTGATCGCAGCGAAAAAAACTCTGTCAAGACCTTCAGATTTGAGCCAATAAAATGCTACTTGATTCTGAAAACTTTGACCATTAGCCAAAGAAAATTTGGCTCTTATCTTCAAAATCAGAATTCAATATAAAACCTTGAGATATCCTCCATCACAAACGAGTCTCAAAATATGTTACAAGAAGAACTTTCTTCAATCTGATGCTTATAAACTTCAGCCTCTAATCCATCGTTTCTTATTCTTGTAGGTTCTTTCAACTTTTGGAGATACATACCTTGAAGCCTTTTGATTTCACAAACCAGAAAACCAGCTTCATCCAGTTCAAGCCTTCTCTTGAATATGTCTTTCTCCAACTCGTGTGTCTTCAGCCAAGACCAACTGAATCCTCCTTCTTCCACTTGCTTGTGGTACCTCCTTGATCATGTGAATCTCTGAGCTAAAGCTCTGATACCACTTGTTAGGATCTTAAACTTGAATCTAGGCTTAGACAAGTTGATTTGTTCACGGATCAAACACAAACATAAACGTAAATCGACACAAGACACTTTGTTTACCCAGTTTCCTTTTGATACCTCTTGAAAGGGGATCTCTTGCCCCTCAATTCTCTATCGATCAAAGGTTTACACAACGCTCTAACCGGCGCTTACTTTGTGTTTCAGGTACAAGCAATAGGAAGATACAACAAGGACGAAGAAAAATCAAAGAAACTCTATCCCGCAAAGACATGACTTGCTTTGCTTAGTTTCTCTCTTCCAGTCCCTCTCTATAAACTCTCGTCTCTCTCTTGTATTAGGTTAGCTTCCTCTTGAATTCATCTTCCTTATATACGAGAATCATGTCGGCTTGTATTAAGGGGATCGAGCACTTCCCATATGCTATTGGGCTTCATTGATCAATCCCAACTTCTGGCCCAAGGAATAATGAAGTCTGAAGCCCATAATTCAACATTATATTTCACCGAATGAAATGCAACAATCAGTATCATAATTATAATAATTGAACGATAATTCCGCAAATCTTTTTAGGAAGATGGTGCTTTAGTAATACTTTTATATTTTTTCTTAGAACAGGTAATAGTAACTTAAGCGTTTGTATTATATACCTACTGAAAAATCAGTGTAATTTGGATATTTAACTGTGTAGTGAAGACCAAATAATATATTTATTTAAGATT